GACTGAGAGTCTTGCGGTATATCCGGGGGGACAAAATCCCGGATCATTGAGCAGTCACCAGTAGCGATCTGGCGTCGAGGTTGAGATCCCCCCATCTCTGCGGGCAGGGAGGGGCTGATCCCCAAGGCCGAAAGGGGGGTGATCGACCAATGGTTCTTCCTCAGGGAGAACTCTTGTGGGATACTCCTGCAACATGGCCCTCCTTGTAGTACCAAAAATATTGGTGAACATGTGTACCGTGACTGATGAGTCAGCACGGCCTGGTCCCCAAGCCAATGTCAAGAGTCGAAGGTCGGCTTGATGGGTCGCTGATGTTGCTCGATCGCAAGTCGGGGTATGGATGTTGGGATGATGGTCACTATCTCCTGGTAGGGACGATAGCGGCTCAAGATGTCCGCTCTCCTCGTTGAGAGTCCTTGGACGCCGACCGGGTTGTCAAAGCCGCCTGGGGAAAGATGCCTTCTTGATCAGGATGATCATGTCTCGGGTGTAATCGCTTTCCTGTACATAAGGCCCTCGTCGGGTGGCCCCTCAACGAGTAAGTTAGTGGTCTGATCTCTATTTTTTCTTGCCTCTCCCCCTGGCCAGATGTCGACCAGGGGATTTTATGCCACCTCTTGGTGGTTGATCCTCGATGGGGAAGTTATTACCTTTATATGGTCGCTGTCCTAGAACGCTCGAATCGACGGGATAGTACCTTTGCGCGACCGTCGTCTCAGTGCAGTTGTCGCCCTATGGCGCATAAGACGATGTCAGACGACGTCGCTTTTGGTTTTCTGAGACGTATCGAAGGATGCTTTGGTACGGACTTTGGGTCCGTGCACTAGAGCCCTCCTTTGTTGACCTGGTGATGACATGGCATGGCGTTGACTTACAGCAGCCGACTTGAATCCTAAAATTTACCTCATCAAAATTCACACATTGCGTCAAATTGGCTAAGTGGGTGTGATGCATAAAGTTGGAGATGATGCAATGTAGCAATCCAAATAAGTTTCCTTATAGGAATGCAAGGTTTGAACATGAACATTTAATTGTTGTAGAATATTTATTACATAAATAATTTTCTTTAAAATAAATTTATTTAATTTATTTAAAATAATTTCCATAATTTATTTAATAAATTCAATAATTTCTTTAAAATTCATAACATTCCCTCCAATATATATATATATATATATATATATACAAAACAATATCAATGTACAATGATACCCTGAGATTCTTAAATCGTTCTTCCTACCATATCCAAAAATGAGCTACTCCTCAACTCTAAAAAAAGAAGGAATAATATATGAATAAATCACATCTTATTAATATACTTGCAAGATTTATTGTAAATGAATATTCAATAATGCTTTCTAAATATGTACAAATAACAAATGCTTTCTTTATATTGATATAATTTATAAAAAACATTTACTTTACATGTGTTTTAAATCATGACTTATGAACATAAAAGGAATGTGATATATTCAAATCAAGATATATTTAAATGTATTTTCATAATCAAAGTGTAAGCATAACTAATGTCATATATCAAATCGTAAATAATTATAGTGCAAAATACTATAATTGATAATTCATAAATATATTTAAGAGTTCATGATTATAAATATAGCTAATATATCAGAACAGAAGACAGTAATATTAATGACTACGATCAAGTTATATGTTCCAATGTATAACTCATAATGATAGAATCCATATCATAGTTATACTAACCGGACAAATTTCATGTCACAAGAAATAATATACCAATTACTTTTTACAAAACTAAGGGTTTTAATTTTTTTTTTTGCTTATCATTTCAAATTTAGTAAAACAATATATCATTTAAGACCAACAATATTAAGATATTTTTAATTATTTTTAAATATAATATTGAACATATACTTTTGTATAAATTCGGAAAACATAAATTAATAAATGCTTATAAAATAATAGATAACTATTTAAATCATATTTTTTTAAAAAAATCAATGTATACATTCTTTTGTAATATTTTAAATAACAAAATGACTTGTAAATTGCATTAATCATGTTCATTTACAAATTTCAAATATATGCATTATTATTTTCGAAAATCGATTAGATGAAATCATCAATACTAACTTGAATTGTATATCCTCAACAGAAACATATAATTTCGACACTTCCTTTCATTTCCTTTGTTTCTAAAATAATAATTTTTCTTTCTTTTATTTCTTTCACAACATAAATATCAAATCAACTAATCAATCTATAAACCTATAGACTAATATAATTAAGAGAGTAAGCGAATTCAAAAACGTACCTAACACAATTTTTTCTGAACTTGATTTGAATTTATTTGATATCAAATCAGGTCTTCAATAAAGTTTTTCTTATTTTTCTTCTATTTTTTTCCTATTGTTCTCATTCTTTCTTTCTTTTGGCAGTCGACCACTCATCTCTTCCTTGTCCCTTCTTTTTACTCTTTTCTTCCTTCCCTCGTTAGCTTCTTCTTTCTTTTTTCCTTCTTTTCTTTCAATTTTTTCTATAATTGCTTTTCTTCCTTTCTTTCCTCTCCTCTCTCACCCTTCTGTGGTCTCTTCTTCTCTCCCTTCCCTCCCGCTTCTTTCTACTTTTGTTCCTCGGAGGTGAGTGATAGAGACGATTAAATGGAAACTTTTATAATTTAATTCTTGGTAATTTATATATTTATAATTAGGTCATTGGATAAAATTGGACATATTACATCCCCTCTTGTTGTTTGGCTAAGCTTTCATATTTTCTTTAAACCTTCTAGCATTTTGCCTTAACTCTCTCACCACAAAAGTTCAAAATGACTTTCTCTTCCTTTTTTTTTTTGAGGTCGAGTACTTCCTTTAAGAGGGTCGCAAGTTCAATCATCCAATCCTTGATGCATTTGTCCCCCCTATCTTTCATCAGTCTCATTGTCTTCTCCTCAAAAGAGGTTAGGGTTATCGAGTCAGAGAACACTACTCCTTCGAGAGTGGCTTCTGTGAGCGATGGAACGTCATATATAATAACATGCTTCATTGAATTTGACTTCACGATCAACTTTGAAGACCTCATCCACCTTAGATCTCGGTTCTTCATTCCATTCAAATTCGATCTTATAGTTACACAGCCTAGTGATCAATCATATATATTAAATCACTATCTCCATAGTTAAACATATGTATTGGAAATGGCTTCGGCTTCCTTTTCACTTGTTCTTCTTCATAGAGGCAAGATCCTACGTACATAGTTAAGAACCAACTCATGATGTTATCTTGTCAATATTATCTCAGTGTTGTCCATATTTGGAAGAGTGATTTTTTAGATTTGCCTAAACCACTCGGAAGTTTGCTAATGCCCCTCGAGCAAATTGGTAGCAACTCTCCCAAATTACTTGTGCTTTATCGAATTTTGTGTCTATCTCTCATACAGGTGAATGCAACATCCAGGGGTCATAGGATGTCGAATGTCCAATAGGATCCCCTACTACTGAGAAGAAAAAGGTTGTTGTCCCAAGCAATAAGTGTGTGGCGAGCGAATCAGCACCACCCGTTCCTAGTGCCAATGAGCCCGAGGTCCCAAGAATGTTGAACGTTGAATGTTGAATGTTGAGGCTCAATAGGAACACAGCCACAAAAGAAACATACAAGTCTTAGGCATCAAGGTGAGCAAATCAGTACCAGTCGTGCCTCATGCTAGATCAGCAACACTGACGATTCTTCTTCAAAGAGTGGGTAGGCTTGAAAAGAAACTAGCCAATGCCAATTCGAGCTTGGTATAGAGGTTGCTTGACTCCAAGCTCAATGCAAAGAGGGATCAAGTCATAGCATCAAGAAATCAACAAGAAGTTGCTCCTGACACCCGAACACACAAGCAGTACCTCGATAAGGGGTCACCTCAGAAGACGAGATCAACGCGGAGGCCAACTGAGATATAGGAGATTGGGAAGGTCCCAACCGACGTAGTCTGTAACAGTTCCTGAGATGGTCGTAGTAAATACTGTGTCTTTTCACACACACACACTCTCTCTCTCTTAGTTTCGGAGCTACTATTCATCAATCAAACATGTAAAAGTCCAGACAACAACTATTCTCAAAAACTAATCGATAAAAGCTTCTCCAATGCTTGATTTGGTAGAGCTAAAGAAAATGTACTATAGAAGTCTGAGGGTTCAAAGAACTCTAATTGAGGAGCACACTTAGGACACTTTATAGAAGGTTTCGATGATCATAGGGATCAATCGAGGGAGTCATCTGGCTGAATTGTTGGGTGTCGCAGTTAGCACAGTCATGTTGACGACGTGGGTCGTTCGGCTGACGCATCATACTAGACTTACAAGACGTCTGAATAGACGTAGTGTTTGATTGTCTACGTGTTAAATCCCTTACCATATATACATTTTTATATAAATATAAAGTCATGTATTATTATTATTATTATTTTTATCTAATATCTACGATTATGAAATATCAAGCAACTATACAATATATACCAATTTCGACTGACGGTTAAACTAAAAGCAAAAGCGGAAAACCCATCTCCAAAAATGACAATATTTATCCATTCCTCTCTCGTGGTGGGATCCCTTCAACGCACATAATGAGATGAAACGGGAGGAGAATTCAGTTGTTTATTTGGTAAATGAGAAAATAAATCTTAATTAATATGAGGAGAATTATACAAAGGTTTAAAAGCATCGATTTTTTTGTAGGGAATAAGAAATTTGTTAATTAATATGGGGAGATTTATTTCATACTATTTTTATCCTTAAATAGGAATTAGAAAATGTTAAAATATGCTCCATATAAAATATGCAACATTATATGGTTTTTGGACAACAAAATTATGCAGGACTGAATACTACGAATTAGCTGAGGTTAATGTATTCATCCCGTCTATAAATAGTATCACCATTTCTTCTTCGTTCTCGAGCTCGAAGCACTTGCTTAGCAGCCATGGCGACCTCCTCCTCCTCCTTTCGTCGTCTCTCTTCTCTTCTTCTTTTCGTTGGTTTCCTTTCCCTGCTCCGCCCCTGCGCTTGCTACAGACGCATTTTTCTGAACTCGTCCGCCGTAGCCACCTGGTACGGGAGCCCCGGAGGCGCCGGAAGTGATGGTAATGTCTGCAATATCCGGCGTTACGTTCTGAAGTATACATGAGAGCATACGTGAAATAGTCGATCGGCATGTACAGGTGGTGCATGTGGATATGGTGATGCGGTTTCTAAGCCTCCGTTCTCATCCTTCATAGCAGCAGGCGGTCCTTCGCTGTTCAAATCAGGCATGGGATGTGGTGCTTGCTATCAGGTATACACGCTTCAGCTAAGTAGCTATAATTGTTTCGTCCGCTACGTAGATAATGTTGGGAGACAGAATGACGATGGCACTGATCGGATCAGGTCGCGTGCACCTCGAACGGTGCATGCTCCGGGAACCCGGTGACCGTGGTCATCACGGACGAGTGCCCCGGCGGCCCGTGTGCTTCCGACCCCGTCCATTTTGACCTCAGCGGGACTGCCTTCGGGGCCATGGCGAAGCCTGGCCAAGCCGATGCGCTTCGCAACGTGGGCTCCCTTCAGATACAATACTCCAGGTGACAACCCCAACCCGGAACGCAACTGCCACTAGAACACCCTTATCCTTACATACTTCTCCTGTGGCTTCCTAGAGTGCACTGCAAGTACTCGAGCGTCAATATCAGCTTCAAGATGGACGCCGGATCCAACCCATACTACTTCGCCGTGGTCATCGAGTTCGAAGACGGGGACGGGGATCTCTCGGCCGTCGACGTGCAGCAGGCGGGGTCGGGCTTCTGGATACCCACGCAGCAGTCGTGGGGCGCCGTTTGGAAGCTGAACTCGGGGTGGCCACTGCAGGCTCCATTATCGATCCGGCTGACCTCCGGCCTTTCGGGGAAGACCCTCGTTGCCACCAACGTCATCCCCGTGGATTGGAAACCGGGGGCCACGTACAACTCCACCGTCAACTTCCCATAAGTCTAAAACAATGCACCGAATTGCTACTTATGTAAGATTCTGTTGGATACTTTGTGTGTGTGCGGCTGTTCCAAGTATATATATACATACTTGACTTGGGTACTGCATGAAGCTCGTAGAAGAGAACCGTGGAAGCTCTGAACCAAGGTTTCGCGTAATGCATTGCTAATAAGATAATTAATAATCATCTATGTTTTGCGTTGTTAATGAGATAGTGAATGAATTTGCGTGGAAAAAAGAAAAAGAAGATCAACGTGACACTGTTTATCGATAGTCTTTGTTTTCTTGTATAATAGTTTTTGAGTGGTTTTCAAGCCCAAACTGTTTGTAAGGCGGTTGATGCCAAATAAGTTTATGACAGCACGTTGAGGCCAAAGGCCAACCTCAACAAGCACCGACGATTTCTAGAGAGGAGACACATCCTCGCTGAAATCTAGAAGGGTATTGCGAAGGTGAGAACCCATTACTTTTCGGTCAAGTCTTTCTGATTGACCGAGTCAGCTGCGCCGACGATCCTTTTTGAAGAGACGAAGGACATGACGAAGAAACTGATCGAGGCGACTGAAGCGGCATTATGAAACCCACTAGCATTTGCTCAGAGACACTCGGATTCGGAAGTGGCATCTTGCTGACAAAGCCCTACGTCTCTAGTCTGCCAATGCCGACCTCGTTCGTCAGGTCGAGGACATAGTGAACCACCACTGGCTGGAAGAGTTCCTCCGACAACAATATGGACTCGAAGGGATCGCCAGATACCAGCGTCGACAAGATTCCAGATGGGACTCGGTAGGCAGAACTACAACTCCTTCGAGTATGGCTATCGTTCGGTGATTGTGCGAGTCTCAGGCGTCATCGTCGAGGAGAATCAGTGCCTTGGCAAGGTCCCAACCATGGCAATCGCGAGAACGGCAGTGGTTCCCCTCGAGTGGTTGTGGTAGATGATGCCAAGCCCGAGCAAGAATAACCCGTTGTTGCCAAATAAATAGTGTATCTTTTTCTTTTGGTGTTACGACTAATTCTTATCAATCATACATGCAATGGTCCCAACAGTAACTATGCAAAATTTCCACGTCGATTAAATGTGTATTTCCAGAAAGATAGTACTGAGTGCGTTATTCTGTGTTGGGTGATATTTGATTAACTCTACTTTTAGCCTTCTCTAACATGTCGAACCACGGAGCCAACATCGGTTCAAATTTAAATCTTTTGTAAGTTTCGCATCGAAGGATAAGTGGGTTCGGAAAGGTTATCCAAAACTAAGTCGAGTGTTTGCTTGATTGATGGTTTGATGGTGTGATTGTCGGTGATATCTCTATTAGCTCGACTCAACTTTAGGCTATGTACAAGAGTTGGAAGATGATTGAGTGGGTGACTCAAATATTAGAAGTCGACCAATATAAAGACTAGAGTTAGGTGGGATGCTCAATCTGATCTATTCGACCCTCGAGTTAGAATTGAGGTGAAGAGTAAAGACATAAGTGAATAGTAACTAACCTTAGCAACAATTAAAATTAGTAGGTTTTATAGTGGGATGAGTCCAAGAGAATGCTAACTCATCTTCCCAAAAATGACTTAATTAACTTTAATTAGTTTAAATAATAATTTAATAAATTTAAATAAGTAAGAATAAAATAATCAAGTGGGGTTAGAAGGTATGAAAATAAAATGTGTAAGACAAATCCTCTATGGGCATTTGGCCCATGTGGCTCAGATGTAACGAGATAAAGCTCTCCATATTCTATTATATCACTATAATAGTATGGTTATATTTGTTGGAAAATCTGGGGCATCAACGGAAGAACAGAAAATAAAATTCTAAAATTTCTCGTAGAGAAAGAAGGTTTCATCGTTGTGCAAAGATTGGTGTGCAAAAACCTGTAAAATCGAAAACTACGCGTATATGAAAAATGTGTTACTTAGGAAGATCGTATATCCCTAAAAATCTACAAATCTGTGGGAAAGAATGAAGGAGATCAACTTTTCTCCTCTCTAGCGATGATCCACACGGTAGGGGTAGCGAAGATGCTCCTCAAATCATTTTATAATCCTCATTTTCACGTGCAACACATGATCAAGAAGTGGCCAATCTATCTTGCTGTCCACACACCCAAAACAGGGACTGCTAGCTAAAGAAAGGAGGGAGAGAGGAGTATATGAGATATAGTCAAAAATGGTTTAGCCTATGACCTTTTGGTTCCCTCATATTTATAGAGGCTCCATCTCAACTTAATCCTAATAGATCATACTTTATTATGTACTAGATCTTCATCCAATTACCCAAGCATATTTGATTAATGAATCTCTACCCAATAATCTCTCATTGGCTCTTATTGAATCTCATCTATAGAATCTACTAATTCAATGGTTTATTGTCCAATAAGATAGGGGCTCCAGCGGATATCTTATATCCGAACCTCTACTCGTGGCAACACCTACCATATGTGTGTGACCCTCCAGGCCCAATATCGAGCTGGCCGTGAGTTGTACCTATCAGAATTCTTTCTCGCTCAGTGAATTATTATCTCCATGATAATTTACTTGACTCATTGACTGCAAACGTAATAGGCCACTATGCCGTAGTCCCCAAACAATACATGGATTGTATATCAGGTATGGTGCTATCAAACTTATACAGAATCTGCTCGAGTCTCGCTCTAATTAGATTATTTCGGAAAACTCTTTCTCTTTCAATCCGAATGACCATAACAAGAGATTTACATAAGTAAAAATACATATGATATTCCTCTCATGACACCAAGAGCGGATGATTCTTTGTCGACACGCAATAACTATTATAAGGTTAGTTGTCACTCCCGATGACCAGTTGTGCTATATATGAAACTTTCAAGCCTATAAGTCTCGTATAAGCAGATCAATCAGTAAACTCATTCTCCAATGAGCACCTGCACTATATCCCTAGTGTTCTTACATGAGCAACTATGAGACCAGCATCCTCCATCATATAAATGAGTATACAACACACTAGTCTATCCAGTTATCTCGATGTCCCTCTTGAGTAACCTATAATCGAGATTATTTAAGGTTTATATTTAACAGCGAATCGATTTTATTATCATGATCTCATCACGATTCGATTCTCATTACACAAATCTATAGATATTTCAATGTATGCAATATTCAATATAAAATAAAAAAAACCTAATATATAATAAACAAAAAAGAGTGTGTATTATATTATGCATATCATCTGATTGACTTGCAAGATACCTATGACTAGTAGAATATGCTTATCGCACATTCTTTCGTGCATTTTAACTGGAACACATTTAGACTCTAAATTTCCTAAACACGTCGGTGATTGAAGGAGTTACCATGTAATTCAGTGTGATTTATTTCAACTTACTTTATTCTTAAATAAGATGAAAAAAAAAGTCTTGCCCATATTTCTTTAGGAAATGAAGAAAAATTTAATTAATATGGAAATATTTATTTCATATTATCTCTAAATAGGAATTGAAAAGGTTTTATTGTTTGTCAGGTATTCAAAACTTGGAAACAATGCGAGGGTACAAAAAATTGGAAGTAAAAGATAAATACATGCTACGAATAAACTGATCGATCCGAGCAACCAACCATCTCTTCTTCCTCGTCGAGCTCGAAGTATTTGCTTAGTAGCCATGGCCTTCTCGCTTCGTCATCCCTCTTCTCTTCTTGTCTTCATTGCACTGCTTGGTTTCCTTTCCCTGTTTCGTCCCTGCGCTTGCTCCAGCCGCAATTTCCTGAACACGTCCGCCGTAGTGTTGGGCACGTCGCCGGCCGAAGCCACCTGGTACGGAAACGCCCATGGCGCTGGAAGTGAGGGTAATGTCAGCAACATTCCGGTGTTACGTTCTGAAGCATTTGTGAGATCATACGTGAAATATTCTGCATGTATGTATATCCATACAGGTGGTGCAGTTGCTACGGCCCCGTTCTCATCCACGACAGCAGCAGGAGGTCCTTTGCTGTACAAATCAGGCAAGGGATGTGGTGCTTGTTATCAGGTACACACGCTTAGCTAGCAATTGTGTCATCTGCTACGTAGATATGTTGGGAGAAAGAATGATCATGGCACTGATTGGATCAGGTTTCGTGCACGTCGAACGCTGCATGCCCCGGCGGTCCGTGTGCTTCCGGCGCCGTCCATTTTGACCTCAGCGGGAGTGCCTTCGGGGCCATGTCGAAGCCCGGTCAAGAAGACACGCTTCGGGCCGCAGGAGCCATTCAAGTACAGTACTCCACACGTGAGAACCCCAACCCGGAACGACTGCCACTCGAACACCCGACCCTAACACACTCCCTGTGGCTTCGCAGAGTGCCATGCAGCTACCCAGGCGTCAACGTCGCCTTCAAGGTGGATGCCGGATCCAACGCAAACTACCGCGCCGTGCTCATCATAAACTAAGCAGAGGATCTTGCGACCGTTGACGTGTAGCAAGGGTCGGGCTCGTGGACTCGAATGCAGCAGTCGTCGGGCGCCATCTAGAAGCTGAACTAGGGGTCGCCGCTGCAGGCACCGTTCTCTTTGCGGTTGACCTCCGGCTTGTCGGGCAAGACCCTCGTCGCCTCCAACGTCATCCCCCGCCGATTGGACACCAGGGAGCACGTACAACTCCAACGTCAACTTCTAATTAGTCTAAAACAATGCACTAAACCACTACTTATATAGGATAATGTTAAATACTTTGTGTGTGTGGTGGGGGGGGGGGGGTTAGGTTGCAATA